CTGTTCCTTTGATCCCCATGTCTATTTTTGTGCCAGTACCATGTGGTTTTTTGGGGGAGGGTGTTTTTTTTTGTACTGGGGATCGAACTCTGGTCCTTGCACTTGCGAGACAGGCGGTGGAACCACTGAGCTAAATCTCCGGCCCAAGTTGGGGTTTTTAAGGCATCATTTCTTTAAACATTTTTTTTCCCTGAGATTCTAGTACAGTTTATAGATACTGGTCCTGGTATACTTGATAGTGTCCCACAGGTCTTTTTTGGGGGAGGGGGTTTGAAACAGGATCTTTCTGTGCAGTTCAGCCTGGCCCTGAACTTACTGTGTAGTCCCAGCTGGCCTCGAACTCACAGTGATATTCCTGCCTCAGCCTCTTGAGTGCTGGAATTACAGATGTGTGCCACCACACCTGGTTTGCCACAGGTCTTTATTTAGGTTCTGTTCTTTTTTTCTTCATTCTATTTTTCTTTCGTTTATTCAGTTGTCTTGCCTTCACGTTTACTGATTCTTGCTCAAATATTGAGCCACTTAATATATTTTATGTTATTTACTGTGTTTTTTTGAACTCTAGAATTTGTTTGGTTCTTTTTATTTATTTAGTTAGTTATTTAGTTAGTTAGTTAGTTTTTGGTACCGGGGATCGAACTCAGGTCCTTGTGCTTGAGCAGCAGGCAGCAAAACCACTGAGCTAAATCCCCCGCCCCCTGTTTGGTTCTTTTTAAAAGTAATGGCTTTTTTTTATTAAAGTTATAAATTTGCTAAGACATTGTTCTCATACTTTTCTTAAATTCACTTTTTTTTGTAGTGCTTGGGATCAAGCCCCAGGGTGTTGCACATTAGACAAGCATGGTATCACTGAAGAACATCCCCAGAGCATTTTGATTTATTTATTTATTTGGGGGGTGTATGCATGGGGGGCTCAGGACTGAATCCAGAGCCTTTTTTGTCTCCAGCTGTTTTTTGGGGGACAAGGTAGACTGGAATTTGTAATCCTCCTGCCTCAGCTTCTCAGAGTGCTGGAATTATAGGAATGTGCCTCTATGCCTGGCTCCCATTTGATTCTTCTATTAGTGTTTTGAGCATATTTTTAAATGACTGATATAAAGTCTTTGTCAGGTAAATCTAATACCTGGGATTCCTCAGGAACAATTTCTACTGTTTAGTTTTTTCCCTTGTATATGAGTTCGTATTCTCTTATTTCATTCTCTTCTTACGTGTCTTGTAATTTTTATTAAAAACTGGAATTTTAAATGATATAGTATGGCAACTCCGGAAATTAGATTCTCTCCATTCCTCTGGTGAGCTCCAAGTCAGGTCACATATAGAGACTTACATAATTGGGGTCTTGTGAGGAACTACCAGATAGGCCAAATAGAAATATTCTGGGTGGCCGGGAATTTAGCTCAGTAGTTCAGCCGCCTGCCTTGCAAGCTCAAGGACCCAAGGTCAATCCCCAGTACCAAAAAAACAAATATTCTGGGAATGATGCTGAATGAACTGGAGCTCAGTTCTGGTTCCTCTAGTGGCTGCCAACCTCCTGGTTTTCACTGAGGATACAGGTGTTTGTTTTTAATGCTGCACTGGAATTGGAGAGCTAGTAATGGGTCTCTAGGTCAAATGAAAATGCTATGGAACTCATTGTTCTTACCAAGATTCAGCTGTTTTTCTTACATATGCACTCTCCAGTTTGTTGCAAGCCTGTTAATTTCCAGAATACTGAAAAAGTTGGCTCTATGTACTAGTTTTCTCATTGTTTTTATGGAGGAGAAACTGGGAGGAGGGATCTTACCTCTTCCATTTTTGCTGACATCACATCTCTCCCCTTTTTATTTTTTATTTTTACTATTTTTTTTAGTTTGTTTTAATGAATTGATTGCTCTCTCTTACCAAGTGAGATTATAGTTTAGAAGGTTTTATAGGATTATAGGTTTTATAGGGGGGTTTTTTGTTGGGTTTTTTTGGTACCGGGGATTGAATAGGTTTTATAGGTTTTAAAGCTTGCCAAAGCCTTTCACCTACAGTTTGTCTTTATTGGTAATATAGACATATAGAGTAGTGCAGTTCTTTCTTCTTGGAATGAAAGTTTCCTTACCCAAGCCTTCCTCCTTTGTATGCTAGTTAACTCTTTGTTTCTTCGTTTAGTTTTTTTTTTTTTTCTGAAGAATAACACATAGGAAAAGTGCACAGGTTATAATACCAACATGATGAATTATTTCCATATAAATAAACCCAAGTAATCATTACCCTAATTAGTAAGTGATTACTGTAGATCCCCCCCAGTAACCAGTGGATCATTTTTCAGATGTAGCATATCAGACCTTTGTCTCTTCTAGGCATTTTTGGAGGCCACTAGTGTAATCCTCACATGCCATAAAATTTACCAAAGAAATTTCAGTAATTTTAATATATTAACAAAGTTGAACAAACATTACCACTATCTTATTCCAGAATATTTTCATCACCCTCAAAGAAATCTTATATTCATTAGCAGCCACTCTCCATTGCTTTCCTCCCCCAGCTCCTGGCCACCACAAAGCTGCTTTCTGTCTCTATGACTATGCTTTATCTGGATGTTTTATGTCAATGAGATCATAGAACATATAGTCTCTGTCTCTCTTTTTTTTCCTCCCCAGTACTGAGGATCAAACCAAGGGTCTCACACATGCTAGGCAAGCACTCTACCACTGAGTTACATCTCCAGACTTTTTTATGTTGAGACCGAGTCTTGCTGAGTTGCCTAGGATGGCTTCAAAGTTGGAATACTTGTGCTTCAGCCTCCTGAGTAGTTAGGCTTACATGTGTGCATACCACACTGTTCTGCTTAACACATGACCTCTTATGTTTGACTTGCCTTAATATTTTCAAGACTCATTCAAGTTCTAGCATTTATTGTATTTCATTTTCTTTTTTTGTCTGAATAATATTTCACTAGTGTACCACATTTTGTTTATTCACTTATCAGGTGATGAACACTTAAGTTGTTTCTACATTTTGGCTATATAAAAAATGCTGGTAGGAAGGAACTGGTGCATCATAGAACAAAGAGTGCTTCTCAAGGCTGCTAAGAGAGGATAGCCAGCCAATTTGAGGCAAAGGTTTTACTTCACTGGCCAGAGTTTCTGTGTGAATAGCCTGTCTTCCTTTATTCCTGTTGAGTGCTGCTTCTGTGCATTAAAATTGATTATGATAGAGCACTTGGGCAAAGATACATACAATTGGCTCATTCTCATGAATTTGAAAAAGGAAATTTGAGAACAAGCTTATTGTAAATAGCCATTTGATACTTGTTTCCTGAAAGCTTATGAGATTTTGTTTGAGATAGGATCTCACTGTTGCTCAGACTGTCCTTGAATTTCTGAATTTAGGCTATCCTTCCAGCTCAGCCTTTCAAGGTGCTGGGATTACAGGCACATGACACTACACTTGGCCTTTACTTTTTTTTGTATCAAACTGGACCTTGTGCTTGCCAGGCAGGCATGGCACCCCTGAGCTACATCCCTAGCCCTGGGCTTTTACTTTTTTAAAAGTTTGTTTGTTTATTTTTGTGGTGCTTGGGACTGAATCCAGGACCTTCACAGTAAGCTACATTCCACCCTTTCCCCCATCCTCACCTTTTTTTTGAGACAAGGTCTTACTAAGTAGTCCAGGCTGCCCTTGAACTCAGTATGTAGCCTAGGCTGGCCTCAATCTTGTGGCAACTCTCCGCCTCAGCCTCCCGAGTGCTGGTATTACAGCTGTGTACCACCATGCCCAGCTTTTTTTTGAGATAGGGTCTCACTAAGTTGCCTGGGCTGGGCTTGAACTTGACATCTTCCTGCTTCAGCCTCCCAGAATGCTTATAGATGTGTGCCACTGCTCAACTGAGATGTTTTAGGGGGACAGGGTCTCACTATGTAGCCCAGGCTGGCCTCATACTCATAACAATCCTGCCTCTACCTCCTGAGTGCTGGGACTATAGGCCTGTGCCACCACGCTGGGATAGCCTTTTTTTTCACTTTCTTACACGTACAGTAGTGTCATAAATAGTAACTGTTTAGTGAATTTTCTTGTTTGTGTCCTCAGTCTTGTCTCTTGCTCTTAGAACCTATCTAATTTCCTGTGATACTTACACAATCATAGAATTACAGAGGAGTTGTGATAGACTCAATAAGTGATAAAGCATGATTTGCTGTATGTGTAATTTTTTTTTTTACTGTAAGGAAAATAGAAAGAAAACCTGGTTGTCAATTGGTGTATCTGGGCAGGAGGAGTTGCTCAGTTGTCTCAGAAAACAAAACAGGGCTGGGGATATAGCTCAGTATGAAGGTCCTGAGTTCAATTCCTAGTAATGCCTCACTCCCCTGTGTGTGTGTGTGTGTGTGTGTGTGTGTGTGTGTGTGTGTGAGTGTGTCTCCGAACTATTATGTTTGGGAGAACAAATCAAGCAAACATTAATTCTGATTTTAGTTCTGTAAGAAGACTTGCACTGTTCCTCTCTTGTAGGTATTGGAAACTATAACCAGCAATGTCCAGGTATTGCTATTTGAGCCTACCCAGAACCAAGGGTTTCATAGATGCTAGCCCAGCATGTAAAAACCAGCACACTCTGCCAGGCTTCCACTCTGAACATCCAGAGGGGAAATTCAGTTTTCACCTGTTAGCCTCAGCTTTGGAGTGATTAGTGTGGAATCAGATTTCTTTTGTTGCATTATTTTTGTACTACAACTTGAAGAATTTTCTTTCTTTTTTTTTTTTTGGTACCGGGGATGGAACTCGGGTCCTTCCGCTTGCACAGCAGGTGGTGAAACCACTGAGCCAAATCCCCGGCCCCTGAAGAATTTTCTAACACTCATCATTTTATAGTTCAACTCTGTTGTCTTACTTCTGTAAAGTTATAGTATGATTTCTTATTTTATTCATTTGTAGCCCACCTATGTGTATGACACCACTGCAGAAGTTAATATTCTAGAATTACTTATTGTCCTATAGCCTTCCTGACTTTTTACTCTTTTTTTCCCCCCTTACAGGAAACGACTTAGAGGCCTTATGAATACATCCGTGCATTCTTGCTTCAGACTTTACAATTGAAGGCCAACCCAGTCTGGAAGCAACTCTTGTTACTGTTATAAGGAAACCGCTACCTCAGCAAACAAAAGGAAAGGAAGACTTGTAATAACGAATGCCATTTTTAAAGAAAACTTGTTTTCAGAAAACAGTACAGGAAATTTGGAAATTTTTAGCCTTGAGGAGAAGCTTTACAGGCAAATGATTTGACAGGCAGGCTCTGTCAAAATAATGCAGAGATTTGATCTCCCTTCTTAAGGACTTTGTGCGGAATAACCCTGTATTGCTTTTTAAGTTGCTGTTGATCAGCTTGTGGGTTTTTGAGTTCTAACTTTTTTGATGTATTAAAGATACATCCTATTACCTTTTTAAAAGTTATTTTTCTGCCATTGTAAATACAAGTATCAAAATATTCTTGCAGAGCAATTATAAGTAAACATTTTTGTCAACAAGCATATCTTTTTATTAAGAGAGTGGAATGCTAAATAATTATACAGCATTTTGGACACACTTTCATTTTTTGTGAGAGGTTCTGCCTACACTGAAAATATTAATTATATAAACCTATTCTTTTTCTCACCTCTACATTTGATCTCATGGTCACCTGCCTCATGGAAATGCCTTTTTTAAAACTTAAATTTGCAGAACTCCACTATTTTTATACCTAGCTAGAGTTTTGGAAGAAAAGAATTAGAACTCTGACCTGCTCACAGTCCCTGGGACAGATCCCCCGCATGTATTGCTGTAGTGCCCAGGACAGTAAAATGGACTACAAGCGGCGCTTCCTGCTTGGCGGGTCCAAGCAGAAGGTGCAGCAGCACCAGCAGTACCCGATGCCTGAGCTGGGCCGAGCACTGAGTGCTCCCCTGGCATCTACCGCCACCTCTGCCCCACTGGGCAGTCTGACTGCTGCAGGCAGCTGCCACCATGCCATGCCCCACTCCACTCCCATCGCCGACATCCAACAGGGCATCTCTAAGTACCTGGACGCTCTCAACGTCTTCTGCCGTGCCAGTACTTTCCTCACAGATCTTTTCAGCACTGTGTTCAGGAACTCTCACTACTCGAAGGCGGCCATGCAGCTCAAAGATGTGCAGGAGCATGTCATGGAAACAGCCAGTCGGCTGACCTCAGCCATAAAGCCTGAGATTGCCAAGATGCTGATGGAACTTAGTGCTGGGGCAGCAAACTTTACAGACCAGAAGGAATTCAGTCTCCAAGACATTGAGGTAGGGTACCTTCTATGTCATACTTAGGTAGAAAAATGTATTCCAGAGATGAGTGAAGATACTGTTTTAGTTTTTCTTAGATCCCTGTGATGAAAACCTTTGTCCTCTTTACACTGATATTCTTTCCTTTTAAGAAATTTACGCTTGGGCCAGGGATTTGGCTCAGTGGTGGTGCTGCTGCCTGCCTTGCAAGCGCAAGGTCCCGAGTTCAATCCCTGGTACCAAAAAAACAAGAAAGAAATTTATGCTTAAGGTGGGCGTAGTGGCACACCCTTGTAATCCTACCACTTGTGGGGCTGAAGCAGGAGGGTTCTGTGAGTTTGAGGCTAGCCTGAACTACATAGTGAAACCCAGTCTCAAAAAAAAGAAGAGAGAAATTTGTGCTTGCCAAGTTTTGAATTGTTTTCCTTTCAAACTAAGGAAGTTAAAAGATTATTAAACAGGAGTGGTGGAGTAGCTCAATGTAGACCATGTGTTTAGTATGCACAAGGCCTTGGGTTCAAACCCCAGCACCAAAAAAGAAAAAGAAATATTAATCGGTTTGTATTTTTTTTTTCCTTAAAATCTTCAACTTGGCAACTAATTTCCAAATAACATACTGTTAAAAAGTACTTAGAATTTTAAATGTGATTATGAGTTTTGTGAATTTTCATTATGCTCTATAGGAAATTGGTTTGTAAAAAGTTTCACACACTGGGTATGGTGGTACACGTCTGTAGTCCCAACATGCAGGAGAATCACATGAGTTCGAAGCCAGCCTGAGCTGCGTAGTGAGTTCAAGGCCAGCCTGAACTAGTGTGCATAGTGAGACCTTGTCTTAAAAAAAACACAAGGGCCTGAGATTTAGCTCAGTGGTGCCGCCTCTTGCCTCACAAGCACAAGGACCCGAGTTCGATCCCCAGTACCAAAACAAACCCCAACCAAAAAAAAAAAAAAAAACAAGTTCCACATGTGCTTATAGGATAAATTAGTTCTCCAATTCATACTCAGATGAATTTGATTCATACTACATTTCTTGGGGATCTTTGATAGTTAAAATGAAATCCTCTCCGTCTTTCAGACCTCTAGATTAGAATGTAAAATTAGAATATAAGTTTCATTCAGAATATCGATGACCGTTTTTCTTGACTTCATTTACAAAGTGACTTACTAAACTTTGATTTGTTACATTAGCTTAACTGGTTTATTTTAAAAATTATTTTCACCAGCTCCAAGGGTTAATCTGAGATTGGTTTTTCCATATGTGCTTATATATCTACTTTAAGCTCCTATACTCTGGTTTCTCTTCAGATCGTATAAAGGCTCCCAGGTATCAGCTGCTAGACAGGAGAATGTCCCTTTCTCCATTCTGAGGCTGAAGTCACAGTCTTTTGAGGCAAATCTGATAACTGAGGTAGCTGAATAAGCTAACTGACACTGCTTTGAGGCCCTTATTGTTTTTGTTTTGTTGTTATCATCATTGTTCTTTGTGGTGCTGGTATTGAATCCAGGGCCTAGAGCCAAATGCTATGATGCTGAGCTCTACCCCCACCCTTGGTCTGAGTTAAAAAAAAAAAAAAGCACTAGAATATTAAATAATATGGCTAACTTTTATTATGTTTAAAAGTGATTTTGAAGACATTTCCAAGAAGGACTTAGTTTTTTGTTTGCTTGTTTTTGCCATACTAGGGATCAAACCCAGAGCTTTCACATTGAACTATATCTCCAGCCCTTTCTTTTTTTGTTTGTTTTAATTCAAAGTCTCATTGAGTCACCAAGTTGCCCAGGTGAGACTTGAACTTGTCCTCTTCCTGCTTCAGCTTCCCAGAGACCTGGGATTATAGGCAAGGACTGCCATGCATAGTTAGAATAATTATTTTTTCTGTTTTATGGGGAGGGGACTGTTTCGGTACCAGAAATCGAACTCAGGACCTTGCACTTGCAAGGCAGGCACAGCACCACTGAGCTAAATCCCCAGCTCCCAAAACCAGTTTTATTTTATGGACTGGTCTGTTCCGCAGAATGGATTTGGTCAATGGGTGTAGCTTGCTGCATCTACTGGTATAAATGTATGATAACTTGCTTATGTCATTCTACTTTGGATCTCTTTAATGAAGTATATTGTAATTTCTACCACTGAGCTACATTTCCAGGCCAAATTCTGATTCTTTCTCTAACCACATCTTATATCCAGAGAAATTATTAGTTTGAGGTTTTTAAAATGGTTTATAGTAATTTCTAAAATTTTTTTTAATAGCAAAACATTTATTGGTACATTTTTATTTATTTATTTATTTTTGGTACTGGGGATTGAACTCAGGTCCTTGTGCTTGCACAGCAGGTGGTGAAACCACTGAACTAAATCCCCAGCTCTTATTGGTACGTTTTAGGGATATATAATGATAACACTCATCATAGAGAATTTGTACCTGTACATGGTTTATTTCTAAAGTTATACACATAAACCATGCCTATAATTCAAAAAGAAATTCAAATAATGATTTTTGTTTGTTTGAAACATGGTCTCACTATGTAACCCAGGCTGGCCTTGAACTCGCAGTGATCCTCCTGCCTCAACCTCCCAAGTGTTGGGTTTACAGGCGTGTGCCACCATACTCAGCAAACAGTGAAATTTAAAATTTATGTTTTTCTCTTCCATCTCATTCTTTTCCCCAAAGTGACCATGGTTAACTGGTTGATGTGTGCCATTCTGTTAGTCTCTATTTGTGAACAAATACATATTTGTGTATATCAACTACACAACTTTGACTTTTGTTTTCTCTTTTTTTGGTACTGGGGATCGAACTCGGGTCCTTGCACTTGACTTTTGTTTTCTATAGAGATCCATGGTGTTCCCCACTGTGCCTAGTTACCACTTAACAGAGATACGGCAAGAGAGCAGTGAGGAAGAACTCTAACTTCTTTTGGGAAGTGTGGAACAGTATTGCAGCTATCACCCCATCATGAGAGCACACTCACCTTTATTTAGGATTTCAGGCAAGAGCTGTTTGAAAAACAAGGTCAGAGCTTTTCATGTTAACCAGAACATTATTGAGCTCTTCAGGTCCTGCCTCCACAGCTTAGAGGAGATAGAGCTGGCCATGCATTGCTTTTTGCTCCCTCCAGCCCTAGAGAGCAAGTGCCCTTGTTCTCCAGGTCAGGATGATTAGAGAAGATGAACCAACCATAGGGCACAGAGCCTTAGTAAGCCACTGGGTATGGTAGCATCCCCTTGTCTGTCCTTTTTTTCCTTTAACCAGCAGGGACCTCTTTAGCTGAGAGGGGAAAATGCTTCTTATTGTTGTAGTTTGGAATTTTGACTTGGCTTTCCCCCACTGAAATGCAGGTGATGATAGTTGGAATAGTACCATGGTTTTTGTACATAATTGACTAAACAGGCTTTTTCCAAACCTAGTCTGGAAACTAAGTGTTATTGAGAGGTTTTAGAATCTTGGATCTATTCTAAGTTTCAAATATTTTTTGTCTTATAAAAGTCAATTCTAAATATGACTGCCAAGTATAGGACCACAGACTTAACATTTTGCTTTTTCCCTTGAGCAGTTATTTGTTGTTTTTGAAATTTATGTACTGTCAGGGGATTTAGCTATAGGCCAACGAGGGTCTCTCTTCTTAGAATGTTCATCAACTCAGATGAAATAGCTAGGCTTTTGGATTTTTTTCCCTGTTTTGTTTTGTTCTAGAATTTTATATGCAAAGCCTGGAGAAGAGAAGCTCTTTAGTATTCATATCTGTGGAAAGAGCCTAATATTCCTGAACTTGACTGCCTAGACAAGGCCTTTTGCTATTGTTTGGATGTGCTTTGTCCCCAACAAAGTTCCTGCTGAAATTTGATTTCCAGTGTGACCATTTTGAGAGATAGTGGGACCTTTAAGAGGTGATGAGGTCAGTAAGAGGATTACTGTGTTTCTTGTGTGAGTTCTTGCACTAGTGGGCCTAGTTACCTCAAAAGTGGGCTGTTGTAAAGTGGGGGCACTCCTCATCTTTTGTCTCTTTTGCACCTAACTGCTTGTTGTTTTTTAAACAATAATATTGAATTTAATTTTTTTGATGTGAGTCTGTTGCATCATGTTTATAAACAGAGCATTATATTATTACAGTATTAGTGAAGTTGGAGCATCACTTTGAGACCAGTAAAAACTTAAAGAGGAACTAGATATGTTGAGTGTAATCATCATGAGATTTTTTTTAAACTAAAGGTATCGGGCCAGGGATTTAGTTCAGTAGTTCTGCCGCCTGCCTCTCAAGCACAAGGTCCCAAGTTCGAACCCCGTTACCAAAAAAACCAACCCCCCCCCCAAAAAAAACCCCAAAAGGTATTACATATTTTCAGGCTGGAAACAAAAAGGACTTTGAAGCATCCTATGGGTTTTAATTTCTAAAACACCAAATATCAGTCTCCATAACCCAGATTAGCTAGAACCTTTGTATCCTTTTTTTAAATTAAAGTACAAAA